TTTTCTTGCTGTTTTGTTCGCAACCTCTACACTTGTTTAGCTTAATATTGTTGCTAACCTGGTCATCTGTTAGGGTCTAATACTCTACTATATAGATCTTTCTGCCTTTTTTTCCTACTATTTTGCCAATTTCTAATTTGCTTTTAGTCTTTATTAAGATCCAGTCTTTTCTTCTTTTATCCATGCTTATTACATCTGGTATTATTCTCGAGCTTAGACTGTTTAATGACTTGGACTAGAAGCTGGATTTGATTCTTCAGCTAGTTTTATCTTCGAGGACTTCATCTTTTTGGTGTATTATAAGTTCTCATATCTTTACTATGAATATTATGTATTGCTATATATAATACTTCTGTATTTGAACTTTTTTCCTTAGTTCTTGTATATCTAAATGTTTGAACAAATGGATTATTATTAAACAATTCAAATTGAAGTTTACTTAACATTTCCTTATTTAATGGTTTATTTTTATTCATTATTTCATATCTTCTATTAAGTTGGCTATCGAAATTATCACCATTATAAAAATATATTTGAGCAAATTTTGGTTCAGGTTTTTTTTCTTTAAGTTTTTTAGGCATTAAAGAACCATGTTGATGATAATGTTATCCTCGAATTTTATAAGTATAAACTCCTTTTTTAGCATTGGCAAGTTTTTTATCTAATATTGTATCACCAATTAATATAAAAGCAAATATTTGATTATATACTATTATTTTAAAAACAAAAGGTTTATTAGATTTTGGATCTTCTTCTATAAGCAAAATTTCAATTGCTGGTGGTGGTGGTTTAAGTTGTGCTAATTGGATTTGTCCATTTAAATAACAAAATCATCTTTTTTCTTTTTTCCACTTTAAAGCAAAACAATGTTTACAAATAATATTCATTTTTTCTAATCTATATCTTTTAATATTATTATTATCATTATTGTCACTATTATCATCATCATCTCTATCATCATCATCATCATCATCATCATCATTATCATCATCATTATCTCCATTATCATCATCTCCATTATCATCATTTCCATCATCATCTCTATCATTATCTCTATCATCATTTCTATTATCATCTTTATTGTTATTCTCATTACTATTATTATTTTTATTATCATCTTTATCTTTATTATCATCTCTATCATCCTTATTATTATTATTATCATCATCATCATTACTATTATTATTACTATTACTATCACTATTGTTCTTTTTTTTCTTTATCTTCTTTTTATATTCATCTAAACTACAAAGTCCTATTTTGAAAAATTATTTTAATTCTTCTTTTTTTTTTCTTTATATCTTTTTTTTTATTTTCTCTATCCTTTTTTTTATTTTTTCTTTTTTATCTGTATCTATAAAAGCTCTATGTCTTGTTTTAGTCTAGCATCTTCTTTTGTAGTGTTCAAAGATAAGCCAGCTTATCACGGCTTGCTGCGGCTTAATGCGGCTTATCATATGATAAATTCGAATTTATCACCAAGCTATGTGATATCTTCAAATTTATGACATGATATTTTCGCGATTATCATATAGCTTGGTGATAAATTCGAATTTATCACGTGATAAGCCACATTAAGCCGCAGCAAGCTGTGATAAGCTGGCTTGTCTTTGAACACTATTCTTTTAAACTTGTTTGTAATCTTGTTCTTGATGATATTAGAAAAATTTTAGATCTTGTTTTAGTTAAAAGTTCTTGTTCTTCAGCTTGTTTTTTTAGTTTATTATAATATCTTTTTTTAGCAGCTCTTTTATTTCATTGTCTTTTTTCTTTATCCTCTTCACTTTTAATAACTGTAAAAGGTGATGTTTTATATTTTTCTTTAATATGTTTAGGGATAGGTTGTCTTTTTTCTGACATTTCTATCTCATAAAAAATAAATTAAAATAATATTATTAATTATTTGTTTAATTTATAAATAAATATGTAATATATATTAAATAAAAGAAATTATTATTTATATTATTATTTTTGTTATTGTATCCTAAGTTTAATTATCACATTGTATGATATCAGAGCTCCAAAATTTAAACACTGCTTTCAATTGGTAAACATTATTATTAATCAAAAAAGTGAATTTTGAATTTTGAAGCCTCAACATTATATAATGTGATGATTAAGTTTAGAGTATGAATAATAAAAATAATGGTATATGTATCAATCTCCTAAATAAATAGTTGTATATCAGAATCCTGATACACAAAATCCAGCAACAAAATCCCAATACACAAAATCTCAACAAATTAAAATTCTAATTTTAATATCTTTAGAATTTTAGTTTGTTGAGATTTTGTTTATCAGGATTTTGTTGCTAGGTTTTTGTGTGTTGGGATTCATGTGTTGGAATTCTGATATACAACCTAAATAAATATTGTAATTTATAATAATTTTTACTTTTAATTATAAAATTTTATCTTTTTTTAAATTTTAAATTTAATAAAATAATTTCAAATATTTAATACTTTAGTTAAATTTTATTAAACTTACTTTATTTTTATATATAATTTATTTAATAATCTATAAAATTAATAATTTATTAGTTTAAAAAATAAAAAATAAAAAATTTTGTTAAAAAATTGTAAAATTTTTTTTTTTAAAAAAAAGTTATACGGCAAAAAACTTTTTCAACGTATTTGATTAAAAAAACTTCATTATTATTAAAATAGAATAGTGCATGCATATTTATTTATTTAATTTAATATTAATCTATAAATAGTAAAATTATTTATAAATCGTTCAACAATCTTATATATGCATATATGCATTTAATTTATTATTATATGGTAAATTGTATTACAGTATGGTCTTTTTTTACCATAATAACTTGATTTGAAAACTTCAAACAGGAGGAACCGTTGATATGTCACAAAATCATTACACAATTGATAATTTTTTTTTTATATTATTTTACAATATTTTTTTGGAAAGCTCGCTTGACTTATCTTTTCTATGAATATTGAAAATGGTTAAACAAATCTGAAGCTCTTACTTTGCTTTACAACATACTTTTGAATCCCTTGAATCCCATAGTTTTGTTTTTTTGTAAATTTCGCAATTTGTTCTATTTTTTTGCCATTTAATTTTCCCCCATAAATTATTCTGGTATTACATAATAGAGACCTTATTTTATGGAATTGTCTAATAGAACTGATAAAAAAAAAATTCAATTGCTGGTCTAATTTTCTAATTACATGTTATGTAAAGTGAAAAATTAACTATATGACTTTATTGCGATTTGCAAAAAAATGTGAAATTTGCAGATCAAAAAAAAAAAAAAATCGATGATTTCTGATTTCTGATTGCCGATTTTTTTAACATTACTTCTGATGGTGTATGTATATCAACTAATATTATACCATATAAAGTTTTATATATATTTATTTAGCATACATTTTTTTAAAAAAAAATTCATTCTAATGACTAAAATTATTATCCCAGAACATGCTTTTTACTATCACTAAAGTTGGTTTTGGTTGTTAACTAACTATATTTACTATTATTAACTTTAGTTCACTTATTTAATAGTTGGGGCTAGTGTTCGTTTTAATTGCGTTCTCGTGCTGGTTTCTAATCATAAAAAAACGCCTTAGCAATACATATTCTATCAATATTTCTATCTGCGATTTTTGATAATAGGTGAGTATTTTATATTCATCCAAATCAGATGTTTTGCTAGCATTACTCAGCTATGCAGATTTCTTAACTACAAATCCATTTAGATAACAAAATTTAGCATTACAGATTTCATCAATGTTATCCATTTCAGCAGATTTTTGATATTAGATAAATGCCTTATGTTTATTTCATTTTTATTAAGATAACAATTAGATGTTACTATCTCTGCAGATTTCTGAAAATAAATGAGTGCTTTATGCTTATCCTTTTCAATTACAATTTTGCAATATCCAGCGTTACAGATTCTATCAACATTACCCATTTTAATAGATTTTTGATATCAGACGAATGTTATATGTATGCTCATACTTTTAAATTCTATTTTCATTAAGGTAAAAATCAGATGTTCCACCGATATTACTCATCTTTGCAGATTTCTGAGAATAAATGATGCTTTATATTGATTCTTTCAACTCTATTTCTATTCTGATTATAATATCCAACACTACATGTTCCATCAGCATCACCAATTTCTGTAGATTTTTCAGAATCACAAGCATTAAATGTTCTTCCGGTATTATCAATCTCTGTAGATTTTTGTTTATTTTTTTCAACTAAAATTCCATTCAGATAACAATATCCAGCATTATAGACTCTATCAATATTACCTATTTCTGTGATTTTTGGTAACAGGTAAATGCCTTATGTCCATTCTTTTTAACTCTATTTCTATTAAAATAACAATTCCGGCATTACTTATCTCTCAGATTTCTGAGAATAAATGGTGTATTATATTCATTCTTTCAACTCCATTTCTATTCTGATACTAATATTCAACACTACATTTCTCATAATCTTAAGTATTAAATGTTCTGCTGATATTTCTATAGATTTCTGTTTATCCTTTTCAACTACAATTCCATTTAGATAACAATATCAACATTACCTATTTATGCGATTTTTGGTAACAGATAAATGTTTTATGTATATCCTTTTAAACTCCATTTCTATTAAGATAACAATCCCAGTGTTTCAAGGGTATTACTTATCTCTGCAGATTTCTGAAAATAAATGGTGCTTTATGTTCATTTTTTCAACTCTATTTCTATTCCGATAATAATATCTAATATTATATGTTCTATTAGTATCACCAATTTCTGTGGATTTCTCATAATCTCAAATATTAAATGTTCTGCTAGTATTATCAGTCTCTGTAGATTTCTGTTTATTCTTTTCAACTACAATTCCATTCAGATAACAATATCCAGCATTATAGGTTCCATCAACGTCACCTATTTCTGCGATTTTTGGTAACAGATAAATGATAAATGCTTTATGTTTATCCTTTCAACTCCATTTCTATTAAGATAAGCAATCAAATGTTCTACCGACATTACTCATCTCTGCAGATTTTTAAGAATAAACAATATCCAACATTATATATTATATCAGTGGCACCAATTTCTGTAGATTTTTCATAATAGGTAAGTTTCTTATATTTATCTATTTCAACTCTATTTCTATTAAAATATCAATTTCTAATATTAAATGTTCCACTGGTATTACCTATCTTTGCAGATTTCTTTATCCTTTCAACTACAATTCCATTCAGATAACAATATCCGGCATTGTAGGTTTTTGTTTTAAGAAAAATATCCAACTTAGAATGTTTGCATAATTTATATTGTATTCTTTTGCTTGATATCACTTTAACCTGAATGAGTTAGTTAGAGTTAGTGGTGGCATTAGGAGGAGGGTGAGTTAGCATTTGAGAGTTGGTTAAGGTTGGTGTTAGTATTAGCATTAGGGTGAGGGTGGGTTAGGGTTAGGATGTATAAGGCTAATTCGTTAAATTTGTTTAAGCAACATACTTATAATTTATTTATATAATTTAGTATAATATTGATATATATAAATAAAATAAATAATTTACGTGATAGGCTACATGTAGCCATAGCTATATATAAAATTTTTCTTTTTTGATTATTGTATATTTTTATAAATAAAAGACAATGAAAAATTCAAACTCCACTTCGGCGGAGTTTGAATTTTGCCAATTTCACAGAAATGCGAAATGGCAAAAGTTACGTAATCCTGCCACCAAGGCGGACTTTAAAAATCTCCGATTAATAGAGTTACTTATGATGCACAGATCTCTGTTACAAAAAAAAGTAACAGGCCCATGAAATACCCCTGCATTAGCAGGGGTATTTCATAGAGCCCATTACTTTTTTTTGTGACAAAGATTAGTATATTATTAGTAGGAAGATTTGTACTTTACTAGATACTAAACCAGAAAATTAGAATTTAAAAAGAATTCAAAATATTTGGCTTAGAAAGAAGTTAACAAAAAAAAATATCATCAATTATGCAATAATTATGTAATTAATAAATCTATACTATTTTTGGTTCAATAAAAGATCTTTAAATATTTCTTAATTTTATAATATAAAATAATCTCATATAATAAAAAAAGTAATATTTATATAAAATAAACAAATATCAATTAAAAGTTGCTTAAAATATAAATTTAAACTTTATATATATAGTTTATAGATTTTCATTCTTTAACAAAAACAATTATATAGAATAAAACTAATTTATTTGTATAATATAAGGTAAACAAGAGTAATTTGACGAATAAGAATAATTTGACGAATTGTGATATCTCGTGATTCTATAATCAAAATCTGATGATTTTAATACTATTCAATTCGTCTCATTGAGACAATTCAAATAGTATGAAAATCATTTAATTTTGATCACTGGGTTATGAGAAATTGGTATCCGAATATAATTTATAGATTTTTTTTAAAAAAATTAATATATTATATTTGGACGTATTCGGGCACTAATATCTCGTGACCTAATGATTGAAACCAAACGATTTTTGTACTATTCAAATCGTCTCAATAAGACTAGTTAAATGGTGTTAAAATTGTCTAGTTTTAATTACAAGATCATGAGATATCCCTACAATTCGTCAAATTACCCATATTCATGCAATACCCTTTTCAAAATTCGGGTAACATATAATTGTTAATAACTCGTGATTCTGTGATCCAAATTGAATGATTTTAGTACTATTCGATTCATCCCATCGAGACAAATTGAATAGTACTTAAATTATTCAATTTGGACAATAGATATCAAATTATACGAGATTATTTCTAACTTCATCAAATTACCTCTATTATCTTATATTGATTTACTATTTAATTGTCAATCATGGAATATATCCACTGTATGATATCTATTAGTCCAAATTGAATGATTTTAGCACTGTTCGATTTGTCTCGATAGGATGAATCAAATAGTGCTAAAATTGTTCAATTTGGATCACAGAATTATGAGTTATTAACAATTATATATTATACAAATTTGAAAGAAAGTATTGTGCGAACATGAGAAATTTATGAATTATAGAGATATCTCATGATCTTGTAATTAAAACTAGGCAATTTTAACACTATTCTACTAGTTTCATCGAGATAATTTGAATGATACAAAAATCATTTAATTTCGATCATTGGATTATAAGATATTAGTGTCCAAATATGTCTGAATATATATATATATTTGGACAAAAATTGTTGAATAATAGCAATTTGCCCAATAATGGTGCTATCTAACAATTTATGATTATGGCCTGATCCTACTTGCATTATAAATACACTTTTAGATCTAAAAAAAAGATAGTAAATCAATAGTATTTAAATCTCTTCATTATTAAGTGAAAAATTTTTTTTAAAAAATACCTTGTTGCACCTTTTAATTTCTTGTTGAAATATTTTTTTGTTGGAAGTACAAAGCTACTTAAGGCTTGTGGTTGCTAGTTGTATATATTTGAAGGGTTGTTGATCATCTGAAGTTGAAAGATTATTAGTTATCTAGAAATTAAAGGTTGTTTAAACTCAAAAAAAAAAAATTTTTTTTAGTTTTATAATGCCAAAAAAGAAAGCCATGTTATCTAAAGCAAATAATGCAAAACAAATCAAATACACAGAACCATCTGTAAAAAGTTTACAGACAATATCTGGAGGAAAATGTTACATGTTATAAAATTGTAGACCAAGGATCGGGAGACCTTCAGACTTGAGCCTGGGAAACTTGGGTCTGGGCAGACCAATCCTTCTAGGCTAGCTGAATTGGGTAAACAACAATACCAAAAGGAGTAAGGTATGGAAAGTGATAGAATATAGTATAGGAGTTTGTGAACCTTAAAAGAGTAAAGTAGGTAATAGTAGGGGTTTAATGGTCACGCCCTGACCCCAAGTACATGAATTAAGGCATAGTATAAGTTACTGAAGTCTAAATGAATATATATATGGGAATGTACCACTCTGGCAGATTTATCTTGAGGATAAATCAGAACATATGGTCCTGTCCTAAGTCTGGCTATTAATTTAGTAGTGTCGCATAGATCTATGATGCCCTGGTAGCACATAGTGAGATTACACCTGGGTCTTAAGTTCTACACAGTGGAAGTAAGAATATGATCAGAGGGTTTAAATGAGTACCCCCCCTAGTTGGGGTGCAGGTATGGCAGATAGTGTAGAACCTTCGGGCGGACTATTTAAATTAGGCACTTAAAAGGTGCACATATAGCTATATATACTTTTATTGTATACTGAAATAAAACTTAATAATAATAATTTGCCATTGACAAAGAGGTTACCTTTAATACCAAAAAAAAAAGTTTACAGATAATATAAAAGAATGCAAAAGTTAAAGCTACACATAAGGCAATAGAAATATGAAAATGCTTTGAAGAAGTTTTACTCCAATATTGGATTTGAAGAAAAGATCGAAGGAGTCAAATCAAAGAAGGTTTTGGAAAACCAGCTATTCAAATTTATATTTGCAATAAAATGACAAGATGGTGAGAAATATTATATAATATTGATAAGGAGTTGCTTGGCTACTATTTGGTGGCATCTTAATATATGTTTGGTTATAGAAAAACTGGTTAATATACTTAATCCCAAGATGTACTTCAACTTGAACCAAGTCGTTAATGGAAAGTTAAAAAATCTTTTAGCTATAGGTTTTGGTGAAAAAAATAGAACAGATAAACTAATGTTAAATGAGGTCAAACAAATTTTTAACTACTTTATGATGCAAAAAAATATGCCAAAAGGCCTATTATAATGAGTTTTTTTTATAATTTAACATTATTGATATTATATAGAGGCAAACATTATGAACTTCAAATTAATAGCTTTATTAAACAATTTGATGGAGATATCAATATTAAATTGTTTAAATCAAAGACAAATCAATGGGCTTGAGAATTATAATGCTCAAGCTAAAGTAATTAGTTTACTTAATATTAAAAACATCATTGACAATTACAAGTTTTACTTTACTAAACATCTGGTTATGACTGTAATAAATTTTTATTTAAAACCAGTCTCTCTAAATTTAGATAAATAGTTTTGCATTTATTGAATGATTTCACAATTATTTACTTTTTTCTATTTATTAATTAAATTTAATGAGCAATGGTTTTATGAACATGCTCTGAGTGAGCAGAAGCTGCAAGAATATTTCAAGGTTATTTGTGAAACTTTAGGCATTCAGATTGAAACTTATGACATATCAAATTACTCTGGAAAAAAATAGTTGCTAAAGAAACTTAGATAATCAGATGCTATTATAATATTAATTACAAGGCACTAGTCACAAAAGGGTCTTGCTACCGATGAATGACCAAAATTTATAATGTAGCAGGAAGGCCTTAATAGATTTTTTGAAGCATTAACTCAAGTTTCAAATAGAGGTAAAATATTTTTTATCATAATTTTAAGGCATTTGATAATAAGAAATAATGATTAAGATTTTTATTTTTTAAATAGCACTCGCGAAAACAGTATTATTCCTAAGAATATTTTCAAGAATATTGCTTTCAAGAATGTTGTCCCTGAAAATGTTATCCCTGAAAATATTATCCCTGAAAATGTTGCCCCCCGAGAACTGTAGCACCACCAAAAGCTACAATCAAAAAGTTGGTAATTTTCTGCTTGCAAGTTTGTTTCAATGGGCAAATTTGCAAATGTCATTGATAAATGCCCTTGATGATCTTGATGTATCTTCTGAGAACAATGCATTACCCCAGAGCAATGTTTTAACCGAAGTTGATCTAAATGTTTTTGAAAAGGATGATCCTAAAAAATTTATTGAAAAATTTCTTAGTAGAAATACTTTTAATAACTGCACTTTTAATTTTTAATTAAAGAAAGAAAAAAAAAAATATCAATAATGTAATTGATATAAATTGAATAATAAAATTTAAATTTATTTGCATTTGCTTGACAATTTTTAGTATTTATGGCCCAAATAATATTTTTGCCTCAAATGTATACATTAGTGTACTTATTTCACAACTCATAAATAAAACTAGAAAACAGAATCTGTTGGGAGTCCGAAGCATTACTATTAAATATAAAACTTTTTAAATTTTTTATATAATATAGAGTTTTACAAATTCAAATCAAATATTATTTGAATTTGATTAAATCAAATTATCTAAATCAAATATAAAACTAATTTAAAATTTAAAAAATAATAATTTAAGTTTAAAATAATTTTAAAAAATAAGCTAATAAAAAGTAATGTATACTGTATATAGATGAGATGAAATTACTTTTCTTAATAAAAAGTTTTTGTTAAATTGTTGAATAGTGAAATTGGTATTTTAATACTAAAAAATAATTTAAATTATATTAAAAATTTATTAAAACTAAACTAAGCTAAAGTAAATAATTATTTGATATTTAATTTATAAAAATATTAAATATTGAAATTAGGCCACATAAATTTATATAATTGGTTTTCATATCTCGCCCGCATCAACAAAGTGAGGATTGAATTTTTTTTTTTATATAGTCAACTAATAAAAATTATCTATCTGAAATCATGTGATAAAGCCATAATAAACGTTCAACTTGTATTTTTTATTGCTTTAACAGGTTTTGTTTCAATTAAGTGAATGATGATTATTTATAAAAATATTTCTTTTTTTTTTTTATTATCGTCATTCAGAATTGAACTAATCAAATATAGACTTATCTGACAAAATCCAATGAGTTACAACTTAATCTACAACCTGAAGTTGCAACTTTTAACTATGACTTAGCATCAGTGCAATTAAATCGGTTTCTTTAAGTCATAGCTCCAGATTAAACCATAACTATTGAAACTGCAACCTGTATCTTGGCTAGAGCATGATCCATGGCTCAAGCTGGGGTAAATGCAATTCCTAAATGTGCCAGGTTGGTGGTGCATTAATTAGCTACAATGATCTCTTTTATTTAGCATATACTAGTACAGTACGCTCATAATATTTATTTTAATTTTCACCATGTGTTTCTTCAACCATCCTGTACTTTGAATGTTTTTTATTTTTCTTGAATTGAAAATATATAAAAGGAACACGAATACAGTCAATGCTCTTTATACAGAACTATTATAATCTTTAAACTTTTAGTCCATTCATTATAAATGACTCATTATAAAAAGAGTTGAACATACTTAGGATATGTAAGTAAGAAAGTACGTTAGATTAATAACAATGCTTATAAATTTTTGTTTTATAAAGTGAAGCCTCTTTAAGAAAAAGAACACTACTATTATTCTTTTTTAAGATATGTTTTAGCGTAGTGTTATATTAGCAGATTTTTTTTACTTTTTATTATTATTATTATTTTTTTTTTATTATATTTTATTTTATGTGATATTAGGGTTATTAGGACGTGTTGATATTATAAAATATATTAAGGATTTTACCTTTAGCAAATCCAGAAGACCCTGACGATCAAAACAAGCTATAGTACATCATGATCAGCTAGATAGATAGCCAGATAATCAATAAACAGGGTACTAGAAGATCTAATACTATTTTCATTTTGTCATACAGTTTTATTCTGTTATTATTTTTGTTTGTTATTTTATTATTTTTGTACTTTATTTTGTCATACTAGAAGATCTGATTAACAAGATAGCCAACAGATCTAATAC